TTTCTTTAAGTAGAATGAAAGTACAGTCAGCACACTGCTCAAGCTGGCACAAAACAGCTCAGATAGTTAACCAGAAAGCAAGGAGGCCAAAGGGCCTACGTTACATCTGCTACTTCTGAGCTCTAGACAACAGAGCGACTCTTTGGAAAACTCAACCCAGTTTCAGAGTAAGACAGGCCTGGATTTGAACCCAGGCCCTGCCACCTACTAAGTGATGCTGAACTAATTTGTCTCTTTTAGGTCCATGTCGCATCTACAGAATAGAGTTATCACCCACACCACAGAACTGTGGTGAGGGTGGGACACTCAGGACAATCTTAACAGATGATTGCACATGGAGACAGACAAAAGATAAATATGTAGGAATGCCAGATGGGCAGATATACACACAATAAGCACAGAATATAATACCTCAATATTCAAGCAGTAAACACTAAGTAGAGTACCTCTACACTGGGAGTTTAGAAGACAGATTAGCAAGTTCTAGGGGTGTACATCTGTAACCCCAGTACTCAGGAGGCAGGGGTGGACAAAGCTCTGTGAGTTGGAGGTCATCCTGGTCTACAGAGTGTGTTTCAGGCAAGCAGGTCTACACAGTGAGTTCCTGTCTTAAGAAAATGGATTAAGAGGAAAAGGAGGTAATGAAATGAATTAGAAAGTTACACACAACAGCTGAGGGGGGAAGCCAGAATGTGTACGCTCTAGTCAGAGCCACCATGAAGTGCAAGTGTGCAGCTGACACCTGTGATCTGGCATTTAGGACACTGAAGCGGGAGGGTTGCCACAAGTTCAGGCCAGTCTGTTTTGTTTCAAAACAAATAAATGGATTGTTTCTTCTAGGTCCCCTGATGGCTCGATTCTTTTTCTATAGAGGTTAGTTTCTAATGAAACATCTTCAATGACAGAGGTAAGGAGGCTCAGAGGTAAACTCCACTTGTAAACTCCCAGTGCTCCAGAGGTCCACAGAAGGAACATTCTTGTTAAGACCGTATAGGAACCGGACTCTAAACAAACCTCATGGCCAAGAGCACAGTAGAGCAGCGGTGGCCAATGGACTCTCCTGCTTTCCTTTCTCTCCCTCAGACCCTCCACCAAGTTCTTACCTTCCTCACGCCAGAAGGCAGCCCAAGAAAGGATCTACTTTAGGGTTAAACAAAAGTCACTTGACAGGCTCAGGTCCCCTGGTAGCATTTTTCCCCTCTGGAGAAACATTCTGACCTATTTTTAATTCCATGTAAAAGGTCATCAAGCAGGGGAAAAAAGCAGATGGTGGCACTATACTCTCCTCTGGACAGCAGTCCCAGCAGAGGTTCCTAACACACAGAGCGTATATACTGTAGGGAAGAAGACAAGTCTGGGGCACTAAGTTCCAGAAGGGATCTCTCTACCAAAGGAAGGAGTTTCCCCTAAACCAAGTCAAGCTCTGTGCCCTTAGCTAAATGCTAAGGTCTCGTCACCAAAGATAACCAAACCAAGAACCTGGAAAGCCAGGCCTGGAGGTACAAGACTGGGATCCCAGCACCTGGGAGGTAAAGGCAGGATAATCAAGAGTTCAAGGTTATATTAGGCTACATGGTAAGTTTGGGGCTAACCTGGGCAACATAAAACCCTGTCTCAAAACAAACCAACAACAAAAAAGCCACCATATGGCCCAGAATGCACAATATGCCACAGCACTTTCTATCTTCCTTCCTTTCTTTTTTAAATTTATTTTATGTGCATTGGTGTGACTGAAACTGGAGTTACAGACAGTGGTGAGCCACCGTGTGGGCTCTGGGATTTGAACCCAGGTCCTCTGCAGGAGCAGTCAGTGCTCTTAACTGCCGAGCCACCTTTCTAGCCCCGCAGCGCTTTCTATAGTGGTGTTTCCATCTGTTGAACTGAAGCACACAGATATAAAATGTCTTTTCCAGGTTGTGAACACTAGCTATCCCAAGGCAGAAATGAAATTCAATAAACATTATGAAGTATCTTTGGAAGCATAAGCCACCAGGGACCCTAGGCCAGTTACAACAATGTTGAACTATAAAGAAAATGTAGAGCAACAGCGAGTTCAAAAGCAGGCCAAACCCTTATCTGCACTAAGTTGGCAACAAATACCTGAATTCATTCAGGAGAAAATGAACTCTCCTCAGTGTGCTGCAAGCACTGTTACAAGCATTTGGAGAAAGAAATGAGGTGTCCAGTGCATCCTGCAAACGGCATAACAGCTGCATGAGACAAGGGTCTCTCAATACCTGGCACACCCTGACCCACACAGAGAAGGAAGGGCAGTGTGAACAGCTGCTCTCTCCTAGGCAGGACTGTCCCCTTAGTGCGCTGACTGCTCAGAGGACCCTAAACTTATCTGGTCCCAGACCTAATGCCAGGAAGCCCTACTCTGGGGAACCCACTGAGTACTAAAACCCACTGGCCCCACCCAGACGAGCAGACAGCCCTGGGGACAGCAGGGGACCTTCATTTCTACATTGCCCCAAATGCTAGTTTCCAAATAAGGGACTCTACTATGGAGTCTGGGGGGGGGGGCTCACGTAGGTACTTGCTACAACTACTTCCTAAGCCTCACCCCGGAGTGATTGGGCCTCCAAGGGCAGGAGAGCCTAGCTGGCTGCTGACCAAGCCAGACAACTAAATACCTGCAGCAGCTTAAAAGCAGATTTTGAGGAAGAGCAGTGCAGAGGGCTGAACCTGGAGTCTTAGCCAACTTCATCCTCTGCACTGGGCACCTCATGGACAATGGAGTCAGTTTAGAGCTGGGTATCTGAATTCAAGAAGCCATCTGCACAATGCCCTTACCACACCATTATCTCAAGAGGCAAAGTCCACCAACTGTCTAGTTTCCTCAGGGGCTCCTTCCTCTCTGCCCACAACCATGAAAAGAGGAACAGTCCATGACAGAGGAGGTAAAGACCTGCTGCTACAAAGTCTGGCCTTGGCTGCCACAACTTGGAGCCCTGACTCAGCTGAAACCTGGCTCCTGGGACCCACATGCCAGGGCTAAACAAATTCCAGGACTCAGAACTTCACAAGACAGCCATGTGTGCCAAGACCAGCACATGTACGAAAGCAATAAATTATGGTTTGTTTTTGTTAAACAAGCTCTCACAATGTAGCCCTGGAACTCCCTAAAATCAGGCTGGCCTTCAACTCTCAGGGATCCTCCTGCTGCCGTCTCCAAAGTGCTAGGATTGCCTGTCCAGTACACTCACAATATAATTATCTGACACAGAAATTGGGAGAAACTCAGTTGAACCCTTCAGTAAAGTCAAGAGCCACATATGGACATTGTGGAAAAAGAAACTCTGCCTCCTGGTTGTCTAGAAAGGCACGTCACCAATCTGGTAGCCATTGCACCCAGCACCCAGCATCAATTTTCCAGAACAAGGATACAAGGAAACCCCCATCCCTTTTTTAACTGTTTAAAAAGCTCTACATACATGGGTATTTTGCCTGCATGTATGTCTGTGCACCATACGTGTGCCTGGTGACCATGGAGGTCAGAAGACAGCACTGAAGCTCTGAGACTAGAGTTACAGGCCCTCGTGAACCACCGTCTGAGTGCTGGGAATCAAATCCGGGTCCTCTGGAAGAGGAATCAATGCTCCTAACCACCGAGGCATCTCTCCAGCCCCCAGGATTGTCTTCCTAAACCTGTTTTTCAGTCCTGCCGATAGAAGAATCTAGAGCAGATTTCTCCAAAGAAAGGATTGGGGTAACCTATAACAGGAGCACCTGGTGAAGAAATCTGATTCCCAGCTGGTTAAGTAAGGGAGAAAGTTTGTCTGTTGGGTCTAGAGGCGGGCCTAGGAACCTGTATTTCCAACCACCTGCTGCCATTGTAAACCGTCTAACTAAAAAACCTCCGTTGCTACATCGGTTAAGTCTCGACCACTTTCCCCCTAAGCTGCAATCACACTTCTTTGGAACACAGATTGGCGTTGTGGACACGCTACGCTACCATCAGCCTCACTCGAAGGACAGGCTTCAATATACCAACACCAGACGGGTGGCTTTTACTTCTAAGCATACAAATTCCAAAGGAAGGCAGGAAGATGCCACAGTCAAACTTTCCCGGACCATCCCCTTCGAGGATGCCTGGCTACGTCAGCTAACAGCCAGGCCCCACTCCTGGGAGATAGGGCACGGAAAGCGGCCGGCTTATGGTTGGGCAAGAACCGCCACGATGGTAGAGCAGGGGAATCGATGACCTACGACCTGCAAGGCCAGGCAAAAGGCCACTCTCGTCTTTTACTTCCCCAGCTCCGGTGGGATGAGGGGCTGAGAAAATGCAGGATGAGAGAGATCTAAATATAACTTCTCGCCAACTCTCTGCCTCGATGGCTCTTGGTAGCTTCCAGCCAGGGCTAGGCCCCGGGCTCTCGCCAGGTCCCTGGGGAGCACTGCAGAGGGAAACTTCGCTCCAAGGATGTGGTCTCACGGTCGGGAGGAAGGGGCTCGGGGCTGCGCCCTGGCTCGCAGGCCCCGGATCCCACGGCTCGGCCGAGGGGCTCTCACCTCGGCCCACCCGGCCTTCCAGAGGGTCCTTGCGGAAGTGGATCCCGTGCACGTCCACATGCGCCTCGCCGCCCGCGTTGACTGCCCAGATGACGCTCTCGGGCAGCCCGGCCCCGGCGGCTCCGACCACGCCGAGCCCGGGATGCCGGAGCTCCGGCAACAGCAGCAGCAGCAGCAGTCGGAGAAGCGCCACAGCGGCTGCTTCGGCTGTCCGGGGCCCCAGCATGGCGGCCACCACTGCGGGGGCAGCCCCTGCCGACCCTCGTCCTCGGCCGGGCGCCAGGCCGCCCCCGACTCAGTAAAACAGCGCCACGGACCGTTCTGCCTCAGCAGCCCGGGACATGTCGCTCTCGGGCCTCCTCCTCAGCCTCGGGTGCCGCCTCCCACCTCACGAACAACCTACCCCGCCGCCCAGCCCTCCGCCCGGACGCTTCAGCCAATCAAGGCGCGGGCCTCATTAATTACCCACCACCCCGCCGAGAGAGGCCCTCCTATTGGCCACTGTGTTCATAAAGGGGCGTGGCCACAGCCAGGCTCCCGCCCAACCACCGGGCACGAGTAGGAGCGCGCGCCGAGGGAGGGAGTTCGGTTGAAGCGGCGGTTCCATGCGGAAGTGGCGGGTGCAGCGCCCAGGCCGCCCCGGAATCCCACATCAGGATAGGAAAGGTGGCCTGGGGCGGGGAAGGTTTAGCGAAGGGCGCACTGACACGTCGCCAACACTTCCGGTGCTCTAGATCTCGGGACCGAATCGGCTGTGAAGGGGGCGTTGCCGCTGTCCCCATCACCCCCTTTTACTCCTCAGAAGGGCGAGAGCACAAACTCCAGCGGGAGAAGCAGTGGGTTTTTTCCCCCCGTGTGAGGCCGAGGGGCCAGCGTCTCTCTGAGATGCCACATGTACAGGTGGCCGACCCGAGTCCCACGAGGATGAGGCCCCGCCTCCACCCCTTAGTAGGCGCGCGACGTGTGGTAGCGTCCACGGGGCCGTCCAATCAGAATGCTCCAACGCAGCGGAAACGCGTGGCCTTTAGGGGAGGAGCCCCAGCTGCCTGCGTCTCCATGGCGACGGTGTCCGGCGGGCCTGCGAACCTGAGTGGTTGAGCTAGGGCTTTCTCCTCCCCGTGGGTGGTGATCGCTGTTGGGTGACCTGGCCCACCTGGCACAGGCACGTCCCGAACTGCCCAGCGCTCTTCTGCTTTAGCGTCCCTACCCTTGGGTATCTGCCCAAACCCCTATTTTTAACGCTGAGAAAACGGGCTGAGAGAGTTCCACCGTAAGTTTCTGATATAGCCAAGTGTAACAGGAAGTTAATCATTTGTTCCATAGATACTTAACCCTGTCCCGATTATTACTAGGGTTGTCAGGCTGTGCCGACGAAATATAGAAAGCCTGGTTACATTAGATTTTGTGGTTAAGAAAATAAGGAACATGTTTTAGACACTTCTGGGCATGGAGACAACAGGTGACGCATTTCTGTATCTCCAGTACTGAATTCCCATGAGTTTAAAGGCCAGCTTGAGCTACAGAGTGTGATCTTGTCTCAAAACTAAGCGGGAGGCTGGAGAGATGCTTCACCGGTTGAGAGCACCAGCCGCTCTTGCAGAGAACCGGGGTGCAATTCCCCGCATCCACAATACTGCTAACCCAGTTCCGAGGGATGGGCGGCCATCTTCTGAGCTTCGTTTTTATCGGACGCTCACGGTGCATAGACATACACGTATTAAAGCCCCTGCTTGGGCTTGCCAAGCCCCAGGTCCACACCCTTTCAGGACAGGTGACCTTTGGGGATGAGACGGAACTGGGTTTGGTTCCTCTCTTGGTGGCTTCCCAACTCTGTCACCCTTTTGATCTTCCAGCCTCTGCCAGCCCCAAATGTAAATGACACCATCCACTCATAAATTCTTTGTGTGTGTTTGAGGGTTTCTCTGTGTAATAGCCCTAGCTGTTCTGGAGCTAGCTCTGTAGACCAGGCTGACCTCGAACTCAGAGATCCGCCTGCCTCTGCCTCCCAGCACTGGGATTAAAGGCGTGAGCCCCCACTGCAGGGCCACTCACAAAATTCTCTCTCCACCCTGCACCTGTCTCCCCTGGGAAGAGGTTGAGCTGAGCACTGTGTGTGTGCAACCTGTGAGGGGCATCCCCAGACTTCAATTCTTTCCTGTAAGCCTGTCTCTTGCTAAATTGTCTAGGCAGGCCTCGGATTTGTGATTCTCTGTCAGCCTTCTGGATGTATATAGGGATAAAAACAGGCATGTGCTACCTTGCCGGTCTACAAAATAAGCTCATGGGGAAAAAATGCAGGCAACATGGAAAGCAACTTGAAAAAGATCATACACCCATCCAAAGCCAAGATTAGGACTGTAGCCAAGAGAGGCCGACAGTAGGATTTCAACAGCCTTCTATTCCCACACGTTTGAATCTCACAGCCACCTCAAGAAGCTGAAAAACAGGAAATGTCCCCAGTTTTATGGATGAGAAACTTAAAAAGTTGAGGAAGGTAAAGTCATTTGGGTAAAACTGTACAACCATGTTTAGCCTCTAATCTATATCGGTTACCTATGAGGCAGTGTTTGGTGCAAATTAGAGCTCTACCCGGTATCCAGTGTCACTTGGGAAGGGAATTCACCTGGCTGTGCCTCAGCTTCATCCTTTGTGATGCAGGATAATCATACACATCTCCTAAGACTGTGAGACACCCGGGAGAAGTTTTAAGTGAGGTGAATAAAAAGAGCTTTTAGAAAAACCATATTTATTTGTTAATGGCGGGAGGAGCACACAGGTGCGTGCCACAGCATGGGCGTGGAGGTCAGAGGACAACTTTCAGGAACCAGTTCTTCCTTTATTGTGGGGATCCCAGAGATGGGAGTCGGTTGTGGGGCTTGGCAGTAAGTGCCTTTGCCCCCTGAGCTATCTTGCTGCCCTCTTCTTTCTGTTTGATTTTTAGGCAAACCCCCACCGAAGCCAGGCCAGCCTCAAACGCGCTTTGTAGCTGAGGGTGGCACCAAGCGCCTGGACCTCCTGAGCTACCTCACCAGCCCAGCAGCATATTTTTAAAGCTAGCCTTGTGGGACCATTGAGTGTGTAGATGTGCGTCAATAAATACATCTTGAGTGTTTGGGGCCACAGAGACCAGGATTCAAAGCCTGCTTCTACTTTCTGGAGCTACGTGGAACCGGGAGCCCCCAGCTTCCTCATCTAATGGATGTAATTAGAGTATCCACACACAAGACTTTCAGAAACCCTTAGCAGAGAGCCTGGCTCATAAATGATACTTAGCACACAGTAGCTATTAATCATACAAGAAGAAGTAATTATAGCATGTCCTGCTGACAATCTAATAGAAAAGGTCCTGGTGAACAGGCCAGGCTAACGAGTTGGGAAAAACCCTTCTACCCAAGGGAGGGAAAAGTCAATGGGAACTAGAGTTCAAAAGTGGAAAACGGAGCAGCTGCTTATAAGGCCCCAGAGGCAACTTCACCTTGACCCACAAAACCAAAAAGAGGTGTGTCTTCCGGTACAGATAAGAATCCTGAGAACAAAGCATGCTATTAATTAAGTTTAGTCTATTTTAAGCTAATGGGATATGTTCCCCCTTAAGGATAAGCTCACAACAAAACTCGAGAGGAAAACCCAGAGGGTGGGTGGGGGCCACTTTGCTGGCTTGCTCGGTCAGCCAGGCAGTCCTTGGATGCTCAGATGGGTGGTCTGGTCTCAAAGCCAACTTTCTTCACCTTAGGCCTCTTGGAAGTCAGATCGAAGAGGGATTAGAGCCACCCAGAGAGTCAGAGAACCTGCCCATGGCACCTCTTAGCCTGAGCCCCCAGTCAGGGGGAACCTGACCAGGTCACCGCTTTCAGGGGAAGGAGGCTGGATTGGCAGGCCTTTGCTTCCCTGTGGAGGATATGACTCAGAAGGAGCTGGAGGACAGAAAAAGCCAGTATCTGGGTGGCCTTGGGCAAGTCACTTTCCATTGTGCCTGGTTCTTATGAGAGAAGTCCATCATCTTTAGCCAGACCACAAAACTTCAGACAACTGCTTTTACACTCTTTTAGGTGACAAAATGTATTGGGACAGGAATGCCAAGGACATTTTTCTTTCTTTAAAGAAAGGATCCCATGTATCCCAGGCTGAGCTCAACTTGTTCAGTAGCTGAGGATGACTTTTCAAGCATACTCCACCATGCCTTGTTTCCACAGTCCTGGGGATCGAACCCAAGGCTTGTGAATGCTAAGTAAACACTCCACAGAGTCACATCCCGAGCACCGAGGGCAGCCTTGTTTGCTTCACTTTGTATATTGGGACAGTTTTGCTGTGCAGCCCAGGCTGGCGTGGAGCCGTGATCCTCCTGTCTCACAGCCTCCTGAGAGCTGGAGTTACAGGAGTTCACTGTGATAGTTTGCTTTCTGATGTGCTTCTAAGGTGGCATGTGACACTCCAGCTGGGAGAGGTAAAAGCTGTGCTGAGCCAAACCCTTCCAAGTCAAGAGGGAGACCTTTAAGCCTAGCTCAAAGAAAATTCCAGGAGCGATAACTGCATGTGTGAAGGGCTTGAGCCACACCCTCCACTAAGCACCATGCTTGAACTTTTTCTTTTCTTTCTTGAGACAGGGTCTCATTATGTAGCCTTGGTTGCCAGGAACTCACAGAGATATGCTGGTCTCAACCTCCCTAGTTATAGGATTAAAGGGACCCCTCCCTCCCTCCCTCCCTTTCTGCTTCCCCCCTCCCTCCTTCCCTCTTTTCCTTCCTTTCATTCCAGTGTATAAGTGTAGGCATGCCTGGTGCTCTCAGAAGTCAGAAGAGGTGCTGGAGTTCCTGGAACTGGAGTTACAGACAGTTGTGAGCCCATATGTGGGTGCTGGGAACTTAACCCTAGCCTCTATAAGAGCACTAAATGCTCTTAACTATGGAATCATCTCTCCGGCCCCTAGAAGAGCTATTTCTTTGTAACCACCTACCAGTTAGGTATTGCTAATGGTAGAGAATGAGGCTAAAGGATGACATGTTAGTTCCTTTGGCACAGTTGTGACCACAATGCCAGACATAACTCCAAGAAGAAAAAGGCTTAGTCTGATTCATAGTTTCAGAGGGTTCAGCCCATGCTTACATAGCCCCACAAACTTTGGAAAAACATCATGGTGTGGTGAACGTGTCCTTGACAAGCTTCCTCAATGTGTGGTGGAAGCAGGGGAAGAGAAAGAGAATACAGAATGGGTTACGGCCTCCACTGAACTTCTTCCTATTGCCCCAAAGTTCCCACCACTTCCAGAAGTAGAGTCGCCAAGTAGGACTGAGACCAAGTATTGCATCCAGTGGGGAATATTTTATATTTCAACCAAAACTCAGAACTCTGTCCTCACTCTAGAAGTGACAGCAGGAGAAGGTGACAGACACCTCAAGGAGTGAGGGACAGTCTGGGTTTGCAACCTGAGGCTGCCAGACACAACAGGATCAAGAACCACCTTTCAGTCATTTCCAGATAAGCAAGCCAGATTCCAGATCTGGGCTGATTGTGTTGTCACTGTAGATGGGAGGTTCCAGTACAGATATGAATCCCACTGGGCTGGTGAGATGGGCCGGCAGTGAAGAGAACTGAATGAGAGGACCTGACTTGTGGTCCTCAACACCCAGCCAGTCAGGCAGCTCACAACCAGCTCTAACTCCAGCTCCAGGGCATCCAATGCCCTCTCTGGCATCTGTGGGCACAGCACTCACACATGCACGGACACCCCCACCCACTCCCCATGCACACACACACAAATTTTAAAAGTTTAAAAATTGGGACTGGAGAAGGTGGCTAAGATCACTCACTGCTCTTTCAGAGTACCTGGGTTTTGTTCCTAGCATTTCCATGGTGGCTCACAACCCTCTATAGCTCCAGCCCCAGGGAATCCAGTGCCCTCTTCCGGCCTCTGAGGGTACCAAGCATACATGTACTGCACATACATGCATACATATAGCCAAACACTCGTATGCAAAAAGTAAAATTTTAGGGGAGGCATTTTGAGGCAGAGTTTCTCTGTGTAGCCCTGGTTGTCCTAGAACTCAGTTCACCAGGCTCTGTGGCAAGTGCCCCTTTTTTGTTTTTCATGAACTGGGGGTAGGGGAGCAATCCATGGCCTCTGTGAATGGTAAGGAGGTGCTCTAACCACTGAGTCAGACCCCAGCAGTTTCTTTTTAAATTTTGAAATTACCTTTTATTCATTCATTTAGAGTGTGTATGTGGTGGGGGTGGGGATGTATATGTGTGTGTGAGTCTATGCACAGGCTGGCCTCCATTTCACTATCCCCCCATCCCCATCTCCTTAGTTCCCAGCTTTCTCTGAGGTAACACTCAGAGCTCCTACCAGGAAACAATCAAAGGACTGCTGTGGGTGACAGAAGGAACCCCTGCCTATGGAAATGCATCTTGCTTCTAGAAGTCATGGGACCCTAATCTTTAAAGATCCTATGAGTGGGAGGAGCTAAGATGCAAGGGAGGAGCCTCTTGTGTCCCTGGTACCCTTGGGTGAGTACTCAGGACTTCCAGCAGAGGCCTGACTGTTTCCTCAAGCCCCCTTTTATCACAGCTGCTGTGTCTACGGCCTTAAGAGGCCACACACTAGGTACAGGGGTGTCCCAGCTTACTGTCTGCTCCACTTTCTCTTGGGCAGGTTTCTGGAGGGCTCCTTCCACCCCGCCAGCTGACAAAGCTGTCTACAGAGGCCCTTCAAATTGAACTACAAGCCATTACATTCCCGAAAAGCACAGATCTGGAGTCCATGAGTAGAGCTTAGCCAGTACAGGAACAAGCAGGGCTGTAGGTCTGCCTAGTGGGGCACGGAGCCAAGGGCTTAGTCTCAGAATTGGATTATTAGAATCTGGAGCTCCCAGCCCTGCTGGCCTCTGGGACATGCGGATTACCCAGGCGTCTGGCTGGGGCTCACAGGCCTTCGATTATTGCCTGCCAGGTCTAAGAACAAGTATCCTCCCTCTGCTGTGACACATGGAGTCACAGAATGCCCCATCTACCTCCCTACTCTGGCCTTTAGCACTCCCCCCCACCCCAGCCAGCCTGCCTCTGAGATCTTGATAGGGATGGAGAATCATAGACCTTACCCCAAACATAGCATAGAATCACAGGGGGGTCCAGTCCTTTAGGGAGGCTGGTGAGATGACTCAGTGGGTAAGGCTCTTGCTGCCAAGCCCAACAGTTGGAGTTCAAGGGCCAGGAACCACATGGTAGAAGAGAACTGACTCAAAGTGGTCCTCTGAACTTCACACACATGCCCACACACATACACACAAAATAAAGACATGTAATAAAAAAAACAAGTTTTGGGTTTTTTGTTGTTGTTAATGTTTTGTTTGTTTGTTTTTCAAGACAGGGTTTCTCTGTGTAGCCCTGGCTATCCTGGGACTCACTCTGTAGACCAGGCTGGCCACGAACTCACAGAGATCTGCCTGTCTCTGCCTCCCAAGTGCTGGGATCAAAGGTGTGCATCACCACACAAAACTTGAGGTGATTCTGTAGCATGCTGAAGGAGGGAAACAAAGGCTTAGAGGACGTTAGCTTTTCCCGTATGTCCACCCGAGTATGCTCCAAGCCTGCCCAAAATTCCAGACAACTTCTGCTCACGAATCTCCTCTGAGATCCTCATCCCGGCAGCTGTGGAAACTGACACAGCGATCTCAGTGGCTCTGTTCTACATTGTCAGGTGGTGCAATCCCATGGCAGTCTGCAACTGACAGTCCCTAAAGAGACCAGCCTTGTTCTGTATTATCCCACATTACACTCCAGGAAACAGTTCCGAGAGGGCAAACCACTACCCAACGTCACACTGCTACACAGCTGCTGTCCATCTTGGAGTTTTATCTAGCTATTCACGCACTGTGGGATTTCCTGCAGAGCAAAACCCTTGACATCATTTCCTAAGGAGAGCATGTCTCACCTCCCTAGAGCGGGTCAGGCTTCCTCATGCCCTGCTTAGGGTCTGCGTATGCGTCCTTCATTGCAGGATCATGACCTATAATCATACATGAATGTGTTTCCACAACATCAGCTACCTGAGTAGCCTGAACCCTCCAGGAAGTCAGACCTACAGGGTGCCCCCCCCACTCACCCTTTCCTTACATGACCGTGTCTCTCCTGTCCCCTGTGTCAAAAGGGAATAAGGGGGCTGGAGATCCGTCTCAGTTGGCAAATCGCTTGCTTTGCCTGGGTTTGATCCTCAGTCCTGCATGAACCAGGGGCCATAATCCGTTCCAGTAACACCACACCAGCACTCCTGAGGTGGGGGCACAGCTGGAGAGATGGCTCGGAGGTTAAGAGCACTGATTGCTCTCCCAGAGATCCTGAGTTCAATTCCTGGCACCCACATGGCAAGTTATTGTTTCATAACTCTAGTTCCAGAGGATCCAACCCCCTCTTCTGGTTCCGTGGGCACCAGGAACGCACACAGGGCACAGCATACATGTTGGCAAGCAAGGCACCTGTACTCATAACAATAAAATAATTTTTAAAAAAAGTTCAGGGTTAGCCGGGTGGTGGTGGCGCACGCCTTTAAGCCCAGCACTCGGGAGGCAGAGGCAGGCGGATTTCTGTGAGTTCGAGGCCAGGCTGGACCGACAGCCTCTGAAACAGAGAAACCCTGTCTCGTAAAACCAAAAAAAAAAAAAAAAAAAAAAAAAAAGACAAAAAAAAGAAAAGGAAAACACCACGCTCTGGCCTATGTAATATATGAGAACAGAGATTACTGGGTACAGAACAGTTACTCGGTCAATGTACGTGGCGGGCAAGAAATTCCATCCAATTCTGGGCATGCGGGAGGTTCTGGGGCAAGGTGAATATCCTCTAACCAGGCCCAAAGCAAAGCACACCCTGGCTGTCATTCTCGGCTTTTTTTTTTTTTTATTGGTTCTGAGATCAAAGGGCTAGGCGAGCTGGGACGGGCATAGAGCTCAGGAGTGTGCTGGAAGGCTCTGCCCTGGGGCAGTCATGCTGTGTGGGGTCTGCTGGCGGGCTCCCTGGCCCACCCAGCCAGCAGCAGCTGGGCACATGGCACTTGGCGCCTTGCTTGTCCTGTACCGGCTTGGCACTGTGGCCTCCTCGCCGGCGGGCGCCCCCCTTTTCCAGTTGCAGGAGTTGTGAGTCTTTCACAGTGCAGAGGGGTGGGGGTCCGGGGTGGGCACCTCCCCGGGTGCAGGCAGGCCCCATCCGCCAGTACATCCTGGGCTCTCGGCAGCTACTGCGGGGTGAGGCGAGCTCGACTCTTCTCCCCGCCGGTGGGAGTTGGCAGTCCTGGAGAAGCCCTGGCAGCCTCAGCGGGACATCATCCGGACGAACTCTGGGAGGAGGACACGAGGGTGGAGACAGTGGCAGTCAGGAGCCGGCACAGAACACTGGCCCAACGCCCCTCCTTGTCGCCCCTGCTTCGAGGCTGCACTGTCCCCCACCTCCACTCTGCATCCCTGAGCTTCTCCTCTGCAGGCTGGCCCCTGAGGACATCCCCAGAGCTCCCCACAGGTCTGGTGGCCTCATAGCACTCCCTGGTCTGATCCATCCTCTCCATCCAGGCCCCTCTCTGGGTACACCACAGTTTTGTGAGGTTTTGTTTGCTGGCTTGTTTGTTTTTTAATCCATTCACTTACTGAGGGACACATTTGCTGGGTCCAAGCTTTGACAATTGTTCACCAAGCAGCCACAAATATCCATATTCAGGATTCTACCTTGACGTACACCTTCGACTCATTGGGATAAATACCCTCTCCTTAATTTTAAAAGACTTATCTTGATTTTTTTTTTTTTTTGGTTTTACGAGACAGGGTTTCTCTGTATTGTTTTGGAGGCTGTTGGTCCAGCCCAGCCTCGAACTCACAGAGATCTGCCTGCCTCTGCCTCCCGAGTGCTGGGATTAAAGGTGTTTGCCACCACTGCCCGGCTCTTATCTTGATTTTTAATGGTGTGTGTATATGTATATTGTTGGCTCGTGCCTTTAATCCCAGCACTCGGGAGGCAGAGGCAGGTGGATCTCTGTGAGTTTGAGGCCAGCCTAGTCTACAGAGTGAGTTCCAGGACAGCCTCCAAAGCCACAGAGAAACCCTGTCTCGGGGGGGGAGGGAGGAGAGAGAGAAGAGAAAAAGAAACTGTGTAGTGACTACATCTATATGTGAGGTGTTTCTTCTGTAGGTAATGTTGAGATAACATAGGGTTGTTCTTTCTCTCAGATTTCAAAGTCAAACAGGGAAGTTTGGGTAGAGTGAGAAACAGGGATGGACCTGAAGTGCTACAAAGGCCAGAAAAGACGCTCAGTCTGCAGAGGAGGGAAGAGGTGGTCTGGGAAGGTGAATAGCATTCACTCAGGGGTGGGCGAGAAGGCTTAGGGGGTAAAGGTACTTGCTGCCAAGCCTGAAGACCTGAGCCTGATCTCCAGGATCCACTTGAGGGAAGAGCCAAGTCCTGCAGGTTATCTCTGACCTACACACACACACACAGATAGATGGATAGACAGATTGATATGGATGGATAGACAGATAAGACGGATAGATAGATAAGATAGATGGATGGAAGGACGGATGGACAGCTAGATGGATAGGTGCTTGGTGGATGGATATGGATGGATGGATAGACAGACAGACAGATAGATTAAAACAATTTAGCCCAAGTGGAAAACAAAATGAAAGGCGGCACCCGGCACAAAGGACAGCACATTCACGGGAAGACCTCGTAGGCTCACATATCTCGAGTATTTATTTCATGGTGAAGGAATGGTAGATGCTGTGGCTGGGATGGTGAGCTGGGGTCAGGTGTCAGAGGCCCGGGGTCAGGCCGAGGCGTGGGTGGACAGACAGACGGGGCAGACGGACACAAGGGTGGATAAATGACGGACAGACGGACGTAGAGCCGGTGGGGAAACGACTGAACAGGCAGAGAGATGGATGGAAACACAGGCAGAAGCAGCTGAAGGAAGTGTATGCCTCCGTGACAAGGCGCAGAGGTGTGGGTGGACAGCCCGATGTGCTGGGGACAACGATACTGAGATGTGCGCGTGGGAGGATACACGGTGGACGAGTGGGTGCATGAGTGGATGATGAATGCAGGAATCAATGGTTGCGTGGATGGCTTTCAGAGGCGACACGAAATGAACAGGCGTGTGTGTGTGTGAACAGATCAGGAAATGAACGGGCGGAAGGCGCGGATGACGGCCAAGCAGACGGGTGCACGGGTAGGGGTGGGCGTGGGAGGTGGGTCAGCGTATACACAGGTTAGATAGGAGAAAGGCAGGGGGGAAGGGTGAAGCATGAAAGCTTGAATCCAGTTGGCGACTGCATGGCGCACCCGCAGCCGGAGGGCTCTGCGGCTGGCTGGGTTCACACCCATTTTTAAGCCCCGCCTACCTTCAAAGTCCACTCGTCCGTCTCCATTGAGGTCCACATCTCGGATAATTTCCTCTATGTCTCGGTGTCCCACCTGATGACCCAGTAGCTTCCTCATGGCCTCTCGCAGCTCACTGGTGCTTATCTCCCCATCACCATTGGTGTCAAACTGAGGGATAGCACGCCGCATGCGTGGGCAGCAGACCTCAAGACCGGGCAGGGTCCCCCGTCCCAAGGTTCCTTTTCCAGCCAAGTTCCCTCCCATGGTCTGGGACCGGGGGATTTAGAACCCTTAATAGTCATCCCGAGACTGGGATTCAGCCTGCCCACCCCTGCTTGTCACCAGCTATCACTCACCTCCCGAAAGGCATCTCTCAGTTCCTTTACACCAATCATATCTGCTGTCTCCGCCAGGAGTTTAGGTCCCATTAGTTCCACAAAGTCATCAAAATCCACATGGCCACCCACTGTAGCAAACGGAAGGGAGCAGGTCATCCTCAACACACCCGCTGCCCATCTCTCGCTAAGCAAGCTCCTTGGTCTCCCCCATCTCCAGGCCCAGGGTATGACCGAGACCATCGAGGACAGACCACAGACTTGTCAAAGAATGACTTGAGGAGCGGCCACAACGTGGACAAAGAGGAAACAGGGACAGGGGAAAGAAGCATTGGGCCACAGGGCTGGATGAAGAATTTCAGAGATGGAGAAGCCAAGATGCCCTTGGAGGAAGGCTAAGACAACAAACGAGCAGGTACCTGGTCCCAGTGCCCCAAGCCTTACTTACTTTAATTGTGCAAATACAAATTCAACTTCCAAGCGACTCTCAGGAGGTGGATCTCAGGAGGTGGAAGGAGACAGGACACCTGCCTGCTGACAACTTTCAACAGGGACCGCCTGCGTGGGCCCCTTCCCTTCCCGCGTGACTGCTCCCTCCTGCACTTGCCTTCCCTTATTTATTTATTTATTTATTTATTTATTTATTTATTTATTTATTTATTATGTATACAGTGTTCTGTCTGCATGTATGCCTGCAGGTCAGAAGAGGGCACCAGATCTCACTATAGATGGTTGTGAGCCACCATGTGGTTGCTGGGAATTGAACTCAGGACCTCTGGAAAAACAGTCAGTGCTCTTAACCTCTGAGCCATCTCTCCAGCCTCCCTTCCCTTATTTAATAAATGCCTCAAACCCTGTTTCTGGTGAACCCAGATAAAGACAGAGGACCTCGTAACGCTAACAGCATTCTCTGACTTCTACTATTGAGCCGTTTTTTTTTCTGCTATTCACTTCTCTCCTAACTTAAACTTCTGCTGTTTCATTACAACCCTGCTTTACATAGGAGGAAACTGAGGCTCAGATGAGTGGTTTGAACTGGGCCCCAGAGCTGGATACAAAAGTTGATCCCAGGTGCTGGAGAGATGGCTCAGCGGTTAAGAACACTCACTGACTGTTCTTCCAGAGGTCCTGAGTTCAATTCCCCAGCAACCACATGGTGGCTGACAATCATCTGTCAATATCTGGTACTGTCTTATGGCAAGCAGCCATACATGTAGGCAGAATACTGTATATATAAATAAATCTTAAAATAAAAAGTTGACCCCAGGCCTGGGTGACCTGGAGGACAGGGACTCACAGTTCATGTTGATCTGCTGGGACAGCTCAATGAGCTCCATCTCAGTGGGCATGTAGCCCATGGTGCGCATGCAGTTCCCCAGGTCCCGGCAGTTGATGTAACCGTCCTTGTCCTTGTCGAATTCCCGGAAGGCCTCTCGGAGCTCTGGGGGAGTGAAAATGGGCAGATGTGGTTGCAGAGAGGACCCAAAGAACATCCCAGGTAAAGACAGCCTAGGGGCCAGCTCAGAGAGGTACACCCTAGAGTCCTCTAGAGTCCTTACTTGCCCAATATGTCCTGCTTTGTGTCACCTAGAGGCGGGTGGGTCTCTGTGACTTCAAGGCTGGCCTATTAGTCTACATAGTAAGTTACAGGACAGCCAGGACTATGTAGAGAAACCCTGTCTCAAAACACCAAACCAGTCGAATGTGGTGGCACATGCCTTTAGTCCCAGCATTCCGGAGGTAGAGGCAGGCAGATCTTTGTAAATCAAGGCCAGCTTGTTCTACATCATGGGTTCTAGAACAGCCAGGGCCACACAGAGAAACCCTGTCTCAGAAAAACAAAATCCCCCAAAACACCCACCCACACCTTCCGGGAGATCATGTCCTCTGAGGGGTGACTTTACCTTCGATCTCCTCTGGTCGTAATGCTCTGTCCTGAAACAAGAGAACATGTCACATTAGCAGCAGCAAGGGACCTAGAACTCACAGCATGCCCATTCAATGGGGACCACCCAAGTAGCAGCAGCTCTAGGTGGGAAGTGGTAGGAGCTGAGCAGAGGTCTCTCTGGACCTCCAGGGGGAGAGATGCAGTCTCCAAGTCTTAGAGTCACAGGAGAACATTGATAGAGGAGACCCAAACCCAACAGTCCCCACAGAGACTAGGCTGCCAAAGTGCCGCACCCTTATCCAGACCTAAGAATGAGTTCTGAACAAAGCTGGTCCAGAGACAAAAACCTGTAAACAAAACAGGGCCAGGGGAAGTCACCACCCAAGGACTCCAGAAGTTGGCAGGACAATGGGGGATGAGGGATCACAGAGGAGAGCAGGTAAGGGCCACACAGACAGTCCCAGAAAGAGAAAATGGGATTCGGGCTATATGAGGAAGAATTGGAGCTGTGCTCAGCTCCTCCTTGGTACTGTCCCCCTGGCCCCCCGTGTGACCCCATGTCTATACCCTGACCATTATAAGATACAGCATAGGACTGAGGTTGCCAGTGTCCAAAGCAGCCTCTAGCAGGGCCCACGTCTCCACAGGGAGACGTCTCCAAAAAAACAAATTTAGGGAAACGTGGGGAAGGGCCCTGATGGTGACAGTGACAGCCACCACCCTAGGCCTGCTCAGGAAGGAGATGGACAGGTGCAGGAAAGATATGGATGTCCATGTTCCTGTTCTCTGCTTCGGATGGGAAGAGCGAGCTAGGTCTGTGACCTTAAGTAGGCTCACAGCAGGAATGAGGACCCGAGTCATTAACACAGACCCGTGTCATTAACATGGACCTGTATCAGTAACATGAACGTATAGGAATGCTATAGAGAGCCAGGCAGTGGTGGCACAAGTCTTTAATCCCGGTACTTGGGAGGCAGAGACAGGCAGATCTCTGTGAGTTCGAGGTCGGCCTGGTCTACAGAGCGAGTTCCAGGACAGCTTTCAAAGCTACAGAGAAATCCTGTCTTGAAAAACAAAACAAAACAGAACGCTATAGTGAGCATGAGTCATTTCAGCTGGTCACAAAGGCTGTTTCAGTTAGGGGTCCAAGAAGGGTGGAGACAGACAATGGCGCACCCAGACAATGGCGCACCGAGACAATGGTTCCCGGATGCAGGCACCCAGTCTGAGAATCCTGTCCAAAGGAAAGGGTTGTGTTGTTGTTCAAAGTGTGTGCGCGTAAGTTTGGAATGAGCAGGCTACAGACTTCCCAGGTCCTCCCAGGGGGCATTTCTAGCTGAGGGGAAAGAGTTGCTTAAATGGGGTGTTGTCTCCATAACAGCAATACAAGGATTTTCCCTTAAAAGGCTGACAGAATGCGAGGGGCACAAGGGTCACCCCGCTCCCAGATGGAAATATATGTTTCTGGACATTCTTGGGTGGCCAAAAAGATTTATTTCCATGTATTGTATCACCAGTACGTGAAAATAAGTGCATGTAGTCATCCCTTACTATCAGTGGGGGATTGATTCCAGAAACCCCAGGCATGCCAAAATCCAAAGATGCTCAAGTCCTCTACATAAAATAGCATGCTATTTGCATATAATTTACATACCTCCTCTGGTATACTTCAAATCCTCTCGAGATGGCTTATTCTATTTATGTGATGCAAATACTATGCAAATAGTTGCTATGTTGTATTGTTTAGAAAATAATCTGTGTGTTCTCAGCACAGGTACAGAGTTTTATCTTTTGCTTAAAAAATTTTAAAGATTTTTTAATTTGATGTGTATGTTTTTCCCACAAGTGTGTATGTGCACCTGCAGGCCTGGTACCCTAAGAATCCCCAAGAGGACATCGGATCCCTGGAGACTGGAGTTAAAGACAGTTGTGAGCCTCAGGTGAGTTTTGGGAATTGAACTCAAGTCCTCTGTGAGAGCAGTGTGTGTGTTCTTAACTGCTGAGCAATCTCTCCAGCCCCAGAGAGTGTGTGTATGTGTGAGGTGTCTGTGTGTGTGTGTGTGTATGTGTGTGTGTGTGTGTGTGTGTGTGTGTGTGTGTGTGTGTGTGTAGATCAGAAGACAACTTGTAGGAGTCAATTCTTGCCTTTGACCATGTGAGATCTAAAGATGGAACTCAGTTTATCTGACTTGGCAGCAAGCACCTTTACCTGTGGAGTCATCTCACCAGACTCAGATGCCAGTTTCAAAAATATTTTTTCTTGCCAGGAGGTGTTGGCACACGCCTTTAATCCCAGCACTTGGGAGGCAGAGACAGGCAGATCTCCGAGGTCAAGGCCAACCTGGTCTACAGAGTGAGTTCTAAGACAGCCAGGGCTACACAGAGAAACCCTGTCTCCAAAATAAATTAAATAAAATTATTTCTTGATCTCCTGTTGCTTGAATCCCCAAATGTGGGGACCCAAGGATCTGGGGAACTGACTGTACACATCTGTACATGGGTATGCAAAGTATACTCAGTGGCACAAGCTACTTAACCAGAATTAGGCTTTCCCATCCCCAGACCCTAAGCATCTAGCTGCTCTTCCAGGACTGAGTTCTGCAGGTCTGGGGAGGAAGTGCACGCTGCAGCTGCCTTTCTCTGTGCCTTCCCAGATTCCAAGGAGAGGCAAAGCGAGGCACTTCCTCACAGTGAGCCTGCAGCAGCAGCCCTGGTGGCTGTTCCCAGGCTCACCCAGTGGCTCCCAACCCCAGGCAGGGCAGTGGAGGAGCATGTTATGTCCGGAGTGGTTAGGGTTACACTCTGAGATATGCACTGATCTGGGGGTGGGGGCACGGGCATAGTTCCTTCCCAGTTTATGCAGTCAGAGAAAAGCCCGCAGAACCTAGAGTCAGACCGACCCAGGCATGAACTTGTAGCTGCTACCTCCTGGTTGAGGGTCATCCCTGTTCATTACCCCAGCCTCCTCAGCTGTCACGTGGTCCACGCCAGCGCCTACTTCACAGGGCCTTTGTGGGCATTCCTCAAGGCAAGAATTCCGCGTGTGAGATTTAATCAGTGCAATCTACAAATGTTTGTAACCATAACATCCTCATCACCCGCTTCCCTGTGACAGCTCAGACACCTGTAGAAGGCTGTTCAGTACAGTAGCCACCAACCACACGTGGCTACTTACATTTGAATGGCAGGGGCGTAGCTCAAGATAGAACATGTGCTTAGCATGTACAAGACCCCGAGTTCAATCTTCAGCAAAAAAAGCGCTTTTAATTAAAGTAATAAAAACTAATAATTCCATTCATTAGCTACATCCCAGGAGGTCATTAGCCACACTTGGTCAGTGGCTGTTACTGGAATACCAGGAGACAGCCTGAATACACAGAATTGCTGGTAATAACACTGCAGAATCAAGCGATCTGGGTTTGAATTCTACCTCTAACTCCTGCTAATGTGACCTCAAATATGCTACTGCATCAGACTCAGTTTCCCCACCTGTGAAATGGGGATGATAAAGCACCTGCCTCTGGGAGTTGGGACTTTTGTGAGGCAAATCTCCAAAAGTGTTGGTTTCCTCAGCATATTGTGGGCACACTGGAAGACTCCCATAGATTTGTATACGCTTATTTATGTGTGAGGAGGTGTGTGTGGCAGGGGTGTGTGCGTGCAGGAGTATGTGTGTATAGGGGAGGGTGTGTAGGTGTGTGTGCAGGGGTACATGTACAGGTATGTGTGTGTAGGGGTGGGTGTGTAGGTGTGTGTGCAGGGGTGCATGTACAGGTGTGTATAGGGGTGTGCGTATAGGTGTGTGTGCAAGGGTTCATGTATAGGTATGTGTGTATAGGGGTGGGTGTGTACAGGGGTGTGTGTACAGGGGTGTGTGTGCAGGGGTGTTCAGGGGTGTATGTAGGGATGTGTATGCAGGTGTGTGCATGAAGGAGTTCTGTGTAGGGGTGTATGTGTAGGTGTGTATGTTCAGGGGTATGTATGCAGGTGTATATGTAGGTGTGTGTGTAGGGGTGGGTGGTTGTGTAGGTATGTGTCTGGGGATGTGTGTGCAGGGGTGTGTGTATAGGGGTGTATGTGCAGGGGTGCGTGTGCAGGGGTGTGTGTAGGGCTGTGTGTGCAGGGGTATGTGTAGATGTGTGTGTGCGCAGGGGTGTGTGTTTACATATATAGGCGTGTGTATGTGGAAGACAGGGGTCAACCTTGGATGTTACTCCTCAGGCTCCTCCCACCTTTTTTATGGGGTTTGTGCACACACATGAGTGCAGGTACCCTTGGAGGCCAGAAGAGGGCATCAGATTCCCACAGAACTGGAGTGAGCCATCTCACCAGCCCAGCTCCTGCCTCATCTACATGTTTTGAGACCAGGAGGTTTCTCCCTGGACCTGAGGCTCACTGGTTTCAGGCTGGCTCCCCAACACTGGATGTGTAAGCACCATCACCATACTCAGATTTTTAGTGGGTGCTGGGGACTGACTTGGGTCCCTTACCAAACATCATCTCCCCAGCCTCCGCTTCTATTATTTTGTTTAAGAAACTTTATTTAGCTGAGCAATGGTGGCGCATGCCTTTAATCCAAGCATTCGGGAGGCAGAGGCAGGCGGATCTCTGTGAGTTCGAGACCAACCTGGTCTACAAGAGCTCGAAAGCCACAGAGAAACCCTGCTTCGAAAAAAAAAAAAACAAAAAAAACAAAAAAAGAAAGAAAATTTATTTAGATTTATTTTATTTTGTCTGAGTGTTTGGCCTGCATGAATACATGTGTATGATGTACATGTCTGATGCTCGCGGAGGTCAGAAGAGGCATCAGATCCCCAGGGACTGGAGTCACAGATGTTTGTGAGCCACCAAGTGTGTGCTAGGAACCAAATCAGGTCCTCTGGAAGAACAGCCAGTGCTCTTAACCACTAAGCCGTCTTTCCAGCCCCCTGCTTTAATTATTTCTTGCTGGTTGATACAGACTCACTTTGGAACCATGAATGGGAGACTTCAAGAATCAGATACGTAAATTGGGGGTTTGAGGCTAGGGGTTGCTGCGTACAGAAGAACCCCTTTTCTTCCCAGCACCTCCTCATGCCCTGTGAAGCCAGGTTTGGCCTGCTGCACCGGGCTGACTTACGTACAGGCTGTCTGTTCTCAGCAAAGCCCTTCCGCAGAAAAATGCAGGCAGGACCCAGCAGGTTGTGCATGACGGCGCAGTTCTGGGCCAGCATCATGAGTGGTCCGGAAAGCTCACCGCCAGCTGCCAGGCCCTCCTCGCTTGTCTGCACCACCATGTAGCTGCTCTTCTCCTCCTGGCGCATCTTCAGCCAACACCAAGCAAATAGAAAGAGGGGTGAGGTGTCACCTCCCTGTTCATCTGGGCCCCTCACCAGCCCCAGCCTGGCTGTTGGTTCTAGGACACACTTGAGAGTCACTTGTTGAAGTGAGAGCTTTAGCATGTACAGTGCGGTATATAATTGATCCAACAAATGGAGACTCTAGTCCTTGGCTGAAATAGTTGTCCCATGGAGAGTTAGATGTGAGGCTTGAAGTACGGTGCTCTCTAGTGGGAACGCACACCCGCGCGTGCACGTGCAGACACACACACACACACACACACACACACACACGAGTATATCCAGGGAATCACACACTTGCATGCATGAAGTTCAGAGAGTGAAGCGGACAGAAGGAGGCTTCTGCCCCAACTCAGTGTCACACAGAAACATGCGCTTCCCCCAAGTGTCCCCAGTGTCTCAACTCAACCCTCAGGCCTGCACCCTTGTCTCCCAGCTACACAGAGAACAAACAGGCTCCACAAGTCTGCTGACTGGAAGTCACAAACATAGATGCCATCGCTGACAAATGAGGCAGGCAGGCTGTGAAGGGTGGGAACCAGGCAGACGGGTGCTGGGTGCCCACTCTACCCGGACAGCTGTACTGACTGCGTCCCAGCCCACAGGTGCCAAATCTGGTCCAAAGCACCAGCAGGGAGACAGGACCCACCTGGGCCCAGATTCCACCTGCTCGTGACGGCATGACTGGGCAGTCCTCCAGCAGTTTTCCTTGCCTACCCTCCCTCTTTCCCTGGCTCCATGCCCAGGCTGACTTGGCCTGCTTGACCTCTAGAGGCTGAGGCTGGAGCCCCGCCAGCTGACCGAATATAGCTGCACTCTCAGGCCCCAGCCAGCCTCTCATACTCCCTGTAGATTCCCACAGTTATGAAAAGTCAGCATGCTGCACAGACCCTCCCCTTAGGACAACAGCAGCATCCAGACACAACATATGACTGGACCCAGGCCTCCCAGCATGCCCAGTGCCTCTCAAGAATCCAGGTCTCAGCACTGTGCCCTGCAATGAACAGCCTCTCTTCAGCGTGGGAGTCTGGGGCAGAACATCCCCCAAGGACAGGCAGGGTAGCTGGACTCCCAAGAGGACTGTCTGTCTGAGGCGCGCAGAGCTATATTCTCTCTGTGCCATCTAGTCCTAGTCCAACAAGCTGCCTCTAGCTGAGCAAAGCTCACATGGAGAGCGGGGCAGCCTGTGCTGGAGGAGCCTCCCTTGTCCTGTCCTCTCACGTTTCTCCTCTGAGCCCTCCTCCAGAGGGGCTGCTGATGGAGACTCGATTCCAGCCCCTTCAACCACTCTATGCTCCCCTTCCAGACCTAGAGAGGGAGGAACAGTCTATCCCTTCCTCAGAGGAGACACAGAGTCTCAGACCAAGGCCCACTCTAGCTTGAATCTCTGCTCCGTTCACTCGCACCTCTGAACCTGTTCAGGAACTAGTAAAGACCAGAGGGTCTTTCCTTCTAAGGAGGTCCAAGAGAAGCCCAGGACTAACTTCAGGAAGCAATCTGATTGGAGATGCTTGTGGGAAAGCAGACTTCCAGTTTCTGGCGGAATCTCACACATGTTGGCTCCTCTAGAAGGAGGCGGCGGCGGGTGGCACAGAATCCTAAGGGGGCCTAATGTGCTGGCTCCGGACGAGCTCTGGTCTGCCACTGCTTGCTGTGTGGCCTTGTGCCCCAGCATCCTCCACACACTGGGGGCAATCATCTGCATCCACAGGCCCTTGTGAGTGAGTGGCAACCGAGCTCCTGCTTATACAGTGCTTTGCACTGTGTGTAGAACAAGGTAAGAGCCAAATAAATAAAGTTGCCGTAGTTACAGCAATGATGCTGCTGATGAGGACAATGATGTTGGTAGAGTAAGTTGAGAGATGTTGGGTGCCAGAAGGCATGTACTTCTGGCTCCAGAGGAAATGGGGGAACGTCTGCCAATCGGCAAAGAAATGAGACTGATGGAGAGGGATTTGCTCCCACAAAGAAGGAACCAGTGGTGGTTGGGGAATTTCCACTGCATCTCTTGATTATAACTCTGCCTGGCACCCGGTTGCCCCAGGAGGCAGCCGTTCTTCCCCAGCCAGCGATGATGGCACCTGACAGGCTGGTCCTGGCCAGTTCAGGGCCGGAAGCAGGCTACCTATCACCATGTCCAGCTCCCCACTTCCAATCAAGAAGTTGAGCCAGGGGCCAATAACGTCTGGCTTGGGCCCAGGAGAGGCCAGCATATCAAGAGAACATCATGACCTCTGGCTCTCTAACAATGCACACTGGCCGAGGGCACGCAGGTCAACCCCCCACCCCCTCTGCTCACGGTCAAGGAGAGCTTGAAGGGCGCTGTGCTTAATGAGATGGCAGAGGACATTTTGCTGTACAGAGCAGGGAGTTGGACTAGACGATCTCGAAGGTCATATTTGGGAAATTATGAATAACATTTCTGGCAGCAGGAGAAAGAAAAAGCACACATAAAACACCAGCTCCGACTTTACACAGTGCAGGCTCTAAATCCCAGCTCTGCTTGCTAGCGACTGAGTGACCTCAGAAACCCTTATCTCTGAATCCAGTTCCCTTCCCTGCAAACTAGCCAAGAGGACTATTTGGTAGAGAAGAGCAAGAGAGATGGCAGATGTCTGATATGTTGCAAATAATCCAGAAAAAAAATAACTCCTAAGGTTTAAGATCACTTATCCAGTGGACTCAGCACCTCGCCAGCCGCACCATGGCTCGGTGGTAGAGGCGTAGGGTTAGCATGCCCGAGGTTGGGGAAATAAGCTATACCCCAGTGTGGTGGCTCATGCCTGTATTATATTTCTAACGTAAAGCAGCTAAGGCAGGAGGATTTTGAGTTCCAGGCCAACCTGGGCTACAAACAGAGGCTTCACCTCCAAAACAAAACAAACAACAAAATAAAAACCTGAAAGCACGGGTAACCATCTCTGTCTTTTCCACTTCCCTACTCCGCCCTTTATCTCTAGTGGCGATGAAATGCTAACGTGTGTTTAGCATGATACACTTGGCATTGCGCGTAGCAGACCACCCACTAGGGACTGGGTGTGGGGATGCACACCTTTGATCCTAGCACTTTGGAGGCAGAGCCAGCAGATCTTTGAGTTTGAGACCAGCCTGTTCTACCTAGTGAATTCCAGGCCAGTCACAGCTACACAGTGAGACCTTGTCTTTAAAAAAGAAGAAAAAAAAAAAAAGAGTCGAAATTAGGAACCATCTGTACTGGCTCACACCTGTAATCCCAACACGCAAGATGCTGAGGTGTAGGTTCCAATGTAAGCCCTTGTTTCTAAAAAGCAGAACAAAACAAAACAGAAAGCTATGCATCAGGCCTGAGGGATGTGTGAGGCTCTGAGTTTGATCCCTGTTAATACACACACACGCTGGAAGATGTAGGTAGACATTAGCCAATTGACTGATGGGTGAAGGACGTAAGTCACAAAGTCAAGTAATTTGTCCAAGATCACATGGCCAGAAAGAGGACACCTGTGCGGTCTGCAGAGGAAAGGGCTCGCTCATTAATTCACCTCCTCAAGCTTAGGACCCTTTGTGTGGGTGTCTGCCTGGGATCCTCTCTGATGCGGATCAGCTTCTGCCCCCGCAGATCACCTCCAAGGCAGATATCTCCCCTAAGAGAATGACAAACCATGAGGCACTGAGGATACTCAATAGGAACATCAGCCCTCCGAGCAGTCCAAGGAGCCTCGAAGATTAAATGGAATTTGATGTGAGCAGCTTAGCCAAATGAGGAAGGCGACAGTCTAAAAAGCCCCAAGTGTCCTAAATTGAGAGGTCAGAAACCTAATGGGAAAGATGGGATGGGACCTGAGTGAAGGCTCCATCAGCCAATCCAAGACCTTACATGAGTCACCTGACCCTCCGATCCCTGCCCCCTCAATTGGCAATCATTTCTTATTTGGAAAATGAAAATACGGGAGGCAGATATCTTTATCAGTCCCATCTTCTTTAACACAGGTCTATGGCCTGACAATGGAGGGTTAGCAACACGGGCAAAGCCTGCCTGGAACAAACATGCCGCAGAGGCAACCCAGACTTTTCGAAAGACACCTGAGGGGAAACGCTTGCTTTTCCAAACGAATTATTGCAAAAGAATATTGTCCTAGCATATAAGCAATAAATCCACTCGGGAAAGTGACATGTACACTCCTGATCCACATATCTCTTGGGCACCCTGTGTCTCGAAAGAAGCCGTTCTGGGCTCTAAGACCTGGTCTTTTGACACTCCCACCTGACTCAGGAATTACTGTGGGTAGAAGCAAAAGGAGAAACTTGCGTGATTAATGGGGTTCCTTCAAACCCGTTTTGAAGGCTTACAGAGTACCAGCAAGGAGCCCTGACCCCCTAAGAGCCCTCGGGCCTGCTCCTGAGCAGCATCTGGTCCTTGAAGGCTCTAGGCTAGCTATACACTGGCAGCCTAAGAATCCACACTTTTCATGTTACACCCCACAAGTCCCAAAGTCACATGATTTCTTTCTTAGCTCTTGTGTGAATCCCAAACATGGCCTTCCTGGACCCTGTGGCCCCTCCACTCCCACCCAAGGCAGCCATAAGCTCTAACTTTAGTTCAAAGTCTGCCTAGGACAAAAGAACAGAAGGAGGGTATCCTGAAGTTGGAACAGGGACACAGCTTTGGGCAGACACCCTGGGAAGGGTAGGGAGTATCAGATACCCACCCACTCTGTGCCCTCTGGGGAAGGCAGCAAGATGCCCCAAACCCCAGCAACCGGGACTCGGGGGCTCCAAAAACATACCTTTCTCGAGAGGTTTCTTAGTGGTGACTTGACACAGTTGCCCATGCTACACTAGTGCAGCCCCTCGGGTGATCTCTGGGTCCATGAAGGAGGCTCCTGGGGGACCGGGAGACCTCAGCCTGGGTCACTGCCAACCCCAGCAGTCTCTCTGCCTGTGCCGCTTCCTCCAGGACAGCGCTGAGCCCGTGCGCGCGTGCTCGTCTGCCTGCTCCCGCGGATTTTTTTTCCTGGTGGTTTGTATGTGTGTTTGTGTGTCTAGGTTTAACTTTCTTAAGGAGACAAAGGCAGAAGAAAAGAGTGCATGGCACCGGAAAAAAATCCCCTGGAGAGTCGATGGCAGAGGGCATTGGTGCTGGGAAGCCTTTCGGATCATCAACATCAGATTAGAGCATTAGAGCCTTCTCTGCTTCTCTCCCCTTCCCTCAGCCCCTCCTTCCCATGCCGCTGCCAAATATGCAGGGAGATTGCCTTGGGAGGGGGACCCAAGGTGGCAGCTGCAGCTGGGAATTAGGCCAGCAGATCCAGAAGGGAAAGCTGACTAGTTTGGGCCCCCAAAGCCAGGGTACCTCACAGCTTGCAAAGCTGTCTTCCCACAAACACACACACACACACACACACACACACACCGCACACACCGCACACATGCATGCACACGCAGGACCCCAGGGAGATGTACGTCTCTTATGAAGAGCAGTGAGCCGGACGAGCACGCCTCATCAGCCACTGGCAATTCCAGCTGGATGGACAGCAAGGCGGTTCTCAGTCGAGAGCCTGGGAGATCTTGTGACGTCTCTATTACGCTCCATTTTTCACACTTGCCTCGTCGTTGACATGGGATGAGGCCCTGGGGCTGGCGGCCCAGCTGAATCCTCAGCTGTGATCAGCTCTTTCCTTCTGCTCCTTTTGCTCTGTAAAAGCTCCCTGACCCCTGGGAAGCCAAGAGATGGTCCTGGGGGGGGGCAGGATGGAGGTGGCACTGCCACAGAGTACGTGAGCAAGGTGTCTGGTCCTCCTCCTCACTCTCTGCCTACTCCTGACCGAGGAACTTTCACCGGCTTCGTTGGAGTGCGGAACAGGGAGGATGTCTTTTTTAAATGGCCCTCGAAGTCCCACAGCTGGAACTTCACAGATGACTGGATGCTCCTTGTCCCTCCAAATCCTTGCTTTGGCAAGAGAATTCTTCCCAAGCCTGGATGCCCCTGTTTGAGAGCTGTAATTGTAGCCGGGTACCCAGAGTCTTGTTTCCTTGCACTCAGCTTCTCCCCAGCAGGGGGCGCCAGAGATAGACCAGGAGGTTGACCCACGCCTAGGCCCCTGATGCAATCAGACTTCAGCCCAGACTGCTTCCTCTCCGGGGGACTCTTGTCCTGTTTGGGTGTCTGGTCAGAAATCTCATTAGAGAAGATGGCTGGATGCATTGCCCAGTGGGTGGCACAGACTCCCTCCTAGGAGGTTAAAAAGGAGATCGCTGGCTGGTTCACTATGGCTGTGGTGCTGTGTGCCGTTGCTGACTAGAGAACGGATTAGCCAAGGCAGTTTCTTGATGCCTTGTTTGGGCCATACTCCAGGAGGAGGGGGAAAAGGGAGGGGCTACTCCCAGAGGACAAAAGGAGGAGCCTGAGTGGTAACAGCTAAAGGGCAGGAAAGAGGGTGAAGATGCCATGGGTTTGGGAAGGGAAGAACAGACAGCTAACAGAAATGCAAAACAGCACGAAGGAAGTCCTCTGCTGGACCAGGGGTCAGGTTCGGTGGCCTCCGATGAGTGGGAAAGGACGTAGGGTCTGAGGTTGGGGCTCGGCTCTGCCTGCGATCGCCTTCTTTCCTGAGCTTCGGTTTCCTCCGTTAGAAAATGGGACTTTCCCTGTCTGGCTAATAAAGTGCATACAGGAAAGCCTGTGGTACATAATAGGCACTGATAAGTAATTATTCAAGTGGAAGAAGGAAGTATCGTTTGCCCAGTGTGTATGTGCCGGGTGCTGTGCTTGGCTCTGGGAACAATGGAGAGGAACAACAGGAGTTTGCATCCCAGCTGGGGGGACAGACAGAATGAGAAGCACAACTGTTTAGCCGCATACAAGATAAACGCTAAGTAGGAGATGCGCAAACTCTGATAATGACAGGGGAGTACTAGTAACAGTTTGTGGAGATCGGGAGAGGCTTGCAGACGATCTAAAGAGGAGACATGGGCTGTACTAGGTAATAAATAAAACGTGTTTCCTGTAAAAACCAAGGAAACAGATAGTCTGGACTACTCTGTAGCTCTGGCTAGCCTTGAACTTGAGGAGGAGTGCTCTGGCCTCTGCCTCCGAGGTGCTGGGTTAGTTTTGTTTTGGGGTTTGTGTGTATGTGCGTGCGTGCGTGGGTGCATGCGTGTGTGTGTGTGTGTGTGTGTGTGTGTGTGTGTGTTTGAGTCAGGGTTTATCTGTGTAACCCTGGCTGTCCTAGAACTCACTCTGTAGATCAGGCTGGCCTCGAACTCACAGAGATCTGCCTGCCCCTGCCTCCTGAGTGCTGAGATTAAAGTCGTGCACCACCACCGCAGCCACCCCTCACCCTCCGCACTTGTTTGTTGATTTTTAAAATTACATTTATTGGTTTGTATGAGGAGAGGCATTGTATGGGAGCCACAGGATAACATCTTGGGGTTAATTTTCTCTTTCTACCAAGAGGATCCTGAGTTTTGAACTCAGACTGCCACACTTGGTGGCAGGCACCTTTTACCCACTGAGGCCCACACAGACCTGGAGCTCACTATGTAGTTGATTAGGACCTCAAACCCTGGATCCTCCCACTGCTCCCTCTCTGTGGTGTGGCTTGCATTAGGCCTCAGGCCTGACAGACAGAGAGAAAAACATTGACTAACAGGGGGTTCCCAGCCCTGGCTGTAGGAACCTGCTCTGAAATCCTTGTTCAGTGGGTACAGGTGGCTCTCTGACAGTGTCTGCTCTACTCCCTTGGGAACTCTAACCTACTACTTGCTACCAAGACCCACTGAGAGGGGCTGGAGAGAGGGTTTGGTGGTTAAGCGCACTTGCTGTTCTTGCAGAGGACTGGATTTGGTTCCCAGCACTCCCTGGGCTGCACACAACCTTCTGTAACTCTAGGTTCAGAGCATCCAATGTCCCTTATCTGAGCTCTGAAGGCACCAGCACATGTGTGCTATAGATACTTACAGGGAAAACACTCATACATAGAAAATGAAAATAAGTGAATCTTAAAAAAGAAAAAGATAAAAGACGCACCAAGGAAGGAGTCAGAGCTTGGAATGCAGAGGCAGAGTGACCCTCTGTAGGCCGGATTCACACTGAACTTTCGGAGTCTCCGTCTCTTAG